GAAAAGAAAAGAAAAGAAAAGAAAAGAAAAGAAAAAGGAAAAGGGGGGACAGCAGGATAGATTAGACTACGGTAGATTGGTATTCTAATTCTATTTCATTCATTTTCGCATCACGCCGTCTTGATGCGGTTCCGGTAAAATGGAATCGCGGAACGGAATTATACCTATCTATGTATATATATATATATAAGCGCTCTTGCTGTATGACTCTTCGAATAATCGCTTACATGTATATATATATATTTTCACATTAAATCTTAATCAACGTCAAAGGCTGCACGTAGAAAAGACCAATGGTTTCTGACTTCTATCGAATATATTAGGATATATAGGAATGTATAGATATATAGATATATATATATATATATATATACTACCTCCCAGGCGTAATAATTACGGCCTGAGGGTTAGGAAACTAGGGGGCTCCAAGTTGGAAATTAAACTTTTGTGCCACCCTCAGGCGGTAATCATTAGGGCTGTACGGTGCCTTGTTACACGACGTGCTTTGTGCGCTTAGTTTAGCGGCCCCATGAACCCACCCCCTCCACCACAGCCTGGTAGGGATGGCCCATTTGGTCCACACCAAGAAGAAGGACCGTCTCCGAGAATTCTTCGAGCGAGATCCCGGACGTCTTCCATTTTACCAGCCATCTTGTGGTCAAGGACTGACAGTGCGATCCTGAGCATCTGTTGTTCATCATCGTCCACGTACTTGAAAAAGACATTCTGTTTCGGCATCGGGGGTGCTGCATAGGGATGTATTTGCTGCTCTTGATGCTGTGGATGCTGGTGCTTAAAGGTCACCGCTACCGTGCCAGCACGTTCCGCGGGCGGAAGTAGACAGACAAGCGTAGTATCTCCCCAAAAAGTTGTCGTGGTGGCTATCGAGTCTCCGAACATAACCTCCAAACCTGCACAAAATCCGCTACCAAGACATGTGACTTCGATTCCACCAGATTTTGGGCCTTCTTGGGGAACCAGCTTGTGGATCGTGGGCGGTCGACGGGGATTAAGAGCCAATGGAACCCCAGAGAGCCCATTCGCTACAGCCTGAGCAATCCGGGCTTGATGATTCTGGTAAGCCTGAACAGTACCCCTCATGCCATTGCTGGGACTCGGGACCCTGCTCGGATGTGCCGAAGCAGGTGTAGAATACAGTTGATGCATAGCCAGGTTCTCCATGGATTGGGATCTGTTGCCGTTGGAGAAGAACGCCTGTTCGTGGCCATTGGGAGTTGGAGGGCCAGTGTGGTATTGTCGAGGTATGGTAGAAATCGTAGTAGGGGGCTGAGGGTGATAATGCTGTTGATCAGTGAGTGTGAAGGTGGAAAAGTTTGGGGTGAAAGGTGATGGTGCTGAAGAGGTGTTTGCGCTCGAGGGGCCCGTAGGCGGCCCTTGTCCAACGGCGATATCTCCAGTCTCGAGTCTGGTCATGACCAGCCCACTAGGAACCTTGTTTGAACCGCTGGGCTTTCTCTTCTTGGCCGTTCGGCCATGTGGTAACGAGGGAGAGGTCGGCCGGGACATGTTGCGCGGTGTTGCGCTTACTGAATTCGCCTGCGAGACGTGGGAGGATGGGGCAACGCCAGGCGGCAGAGGAGGGGGAAACTGCATATGAAAATTGCTTTGCATACCCTGCGAGTCCGGGTTCGACTGAGAGAGGCGGAACGGAGGTAGATTTCCGGGTGGAGCCGCGGACAGGTCGAAAGGAGGGTCGGCAGAGAATGGTCCAGGTCCCGAGAACATCTGCCCATCAGATTCGTTTGCCATCTGAGGCATGTTGTGGGTTTTGTGGTCATCGGTAATCATAATGGAGGAAGTGATTGTCTGGGCGATCACGCGACCCTGGTAATCCTTGAGCGTAAATATCACCTGAAACCCAACCTTCTCATTCTGGTGCCGGCAGTAGCATGCAATACGCATAGGAATGTCCACCTGCATCGATCCCTCCGCGAAGAAAGGTTCTGGCCGGTTTCCAGTCGCCTCCGCGAGGGGCTGCTGACTCGTGGGTGCTTGCCATTCCTTGACCTCATGGGTATTGAAGACGATCACACGTTTGGCTTCGTCCCTATGCCAGGATTCCTCCTCCTCGACTTTCTTGACCTTCTTTCGGGCTGCCCGCTTCCTCTCTCGGGTTATGCACCCTGGGCAGATATCGACATCGCCACCGTTCGAGGGCTTGTTCTCGTCATCCTCATCCGCTCCGCTCTCGCCCGGTGAGGACTCCACCTGGACCGAGGGAGCCCGTCCCGAGGCAGCTCGCTCAAAAGCACGCCGCCTGTTCTCTGGGTTCGCCATTGCACTGGACAAGACCAATTTGACATCCAACTCAAGAGTGTCCGGGGATCTGGCTGGTGTCGGCTTGGCCAGAAGCTTGGGCTTGGATATGCAGTGGGTGGGTAGGTGCACTTTGGTAACGCCAGCCGGGACATTGCTGATGACCATTGTGATGGGGATCTGCGTCTCTACACGAGACTTCAAGGGAGTAGGGTGAATAGTCAAGAGTGGCTCGAGCGGCGGCGGGGCCATGTGAGCAGGTGGCTGATACAGAGACATTTCGGGCATGGGATGTGGATTGAGTGCCCGTTGCATGGTGGCCGATGGGCCATTGTTGAAGCCGCCGAGCCCGGCTGCCCATCCTGGATGCTGAATAGGACCACTCGTCATGTGCGGCGCATTCATGAAATTCACCGTATTTCCTGGGGAGGGCGAGTTATTGAAGAAGGCTGCGGGAGAGGATTCCTGGCTCCTCGTAACCATGGCTGGCGGGGAAGCTTCCCTGGACCCTGCGGTCGTAAGACCATTCATGGACTGCGTTATCGAGTGTTGCTAGGAATATGTCAGCACCCACGCACGATGAGGGTTCGTGAGCGCGGTATGATTGATTCTCTTACCGAGTTTCTCTTGCTGTGATGCGTGGATTTGGACTTCAACATGGGCGACTGCCGCCTCCTTGGTCTGTCCTCCTGGCCCGATGCCATCTCTGGTGAATCAACCGGACCCATTGCGAAGGGACTCGGACTGCTGGCAGCACTATCGAAATCGAAAACTTTCTCCATCGCCTTGTCGATAAAATCGAAGTTGCCCATGGCCGCAGGATTGATTGTCCCGTCAAACCCGCTGTATATTTTTGCATCGTGTGACACAGTGCCCTCCTCGAACTTCCAATCCACCATATCTGCGTCGGCCATCATCACATCGTCGGCTGAAGTCAGCGCTGACCCTGACGAGTCCGAGCTGGACCGGGACTTGCGCTTAGATCCCGAAAACGCGGCGGACGTGTCCTGGAACACGGCCGCCGGGGACATAGGCTGGGGCGCGGAACGGGACGGTTGCGGCGTCGTTTCCAGCAGAGAGTTCTGAACGGGCAGTAGTTGGCTTTTCTGATCCACCGTATCGGGAGTTCCAAAATTCGGCAGGAACTGGGAATTGTCCGTCACCAGGTCCTCGGCGAAGAAGAGGCCGGGGCTGTTCTCGAGGTTGGAATTGAAGAACTCGAAATCGGGATCCGCATCGATGCCCCCCAACATGTTGGCGTCAGGCTCTGTGTTCATCGGCATGCCCCTTTGCGGACGTTTCCTTTTGCTGTTCGAATCCCCCATCCCGGAAATTGGTCCGGACTGGAATGTTTCGGTGATTCTGGCACGTATCTCTCTCTACTCGTCGTCTTCGGAATGATGAATTGATCGGCAGGAGTTGAATTCCGCAGGCTCG